CCCTTCCAACCTCAACCATTCTGTGATTCTGTGATTCTGTAATGATCTCAGTTAAATGTGTCTGAGAGCACATTCTTCTAATGTCTTTTTTTTTTTTTAACCTCTCAGAGCTGGTAGAAGTTCCTTACACATAAGGGATGTTAATTGCTGCTCCTCTCTGCCTGGGCTGTGGACACCATTAGTCCCTATCAGGGTGGTCTGGGTGAGCTCAGCAGCTCAAGGGACAGTGTTTTTGTGCAAATCAGCAGGTTGCCTCTAACGTAAAGCCTGGGGATGGTGGTGACGTCTAGTCTCATTAATAATGCTTAGTGAATCAACCCCATGCATCTCCTTCTGCAACTTCCTCATGTCTGATGTGCGTGGTGGTCATAGCGAATTTGTGGCGGTGTTCGTCGGTTAAAATGGTCTTTGGCCAATTGCAAAGACTTACTTTGTTGTGAATTGTCAAAAATCCACAATGAAATGCTAGGAAGAGCTTTTGAAAAGCTGCTTTATGTTACTGTAAAGTGAAAAGAAAAAATACGTGGTAACAGTGGAAGAGTGCATGTTTGCCTGAACTGATGCTGTTTCAAGAAAAGAAGGCAAGTTTAACCTGTTGTAACACAAGGTCACTTTCTGTTAGCAAAACCCCCTAAAGGGAGAAGAAGGAAAATGTAAAAAGATACTTTACAGAAAAACAATATACTAATTTTACTCAGAGATCAAGGTTTCTTTAAAAAAAGAGCTTTTGAAAATCTATCCTCTGATTTACAGAGTATTTTTAACTCCTCCAGTGTCATATGGTTTTAAGCAAGTGATTATTTGAGAATCGATCTGTCATCTTTTCTTGTTGCATAGAGACAAAAATGACTTTTGTCCGAATGCAACTGCAGTTTTCTTCCTTAACCTTTCCTCCTGTAAGCAGTTAAACTTTTACAACTAAGGTATATATTTTCTAAATTTTATTAATGGAGTCATTCTGCTTTCCCTTTCTTTGAGTTTTCTTCTCCTGTATCTCCCAAAGCATTACACTCACATGTCTTTGTTCATTAGTTTTAAAGTCTTTCTTCAGCTAGGATAATAGAAAAAACATATATTGCTAGTCATCCAGTTGCAATTCTAGCTATTCTCAGAGGGGCATATATATTTCCAGTTTGGTGCATGGGGATTTAGATATACAATTCCAGATAGTCTTAATGAGAGTAACAGTCCTAATTCCCCGCACAATATATTAAAAGTGGGTCCAGAATGTTCAGAGTGAAGCTCTGTGATCTCACCTTTACATATCTTTGCCTTTTCTTTTCTTGATATATCATTTGCATCTGTATTTGTTAATTGAGGTAATTGGCAGCTGCTGGGAGGAGGAGGGAGCCAGTCTTCTGAGCTTGTGAGCCTGCATCTGTTTTGCTTTGTTTTGCTTTGCTAGGGATTGCCTGGGCCTGGGTGTACCTTTTGAATGGAAAGGTTAATTCATGAGGGAGATACAGGAAAGAATTTCCCAAATTGGCTCCATTATTATTCTGATTGCTTTTGATGTTAGACAAGAACACGGCACACCTTTTTTTATTGCCTTAATTAATTACCAAAAAGTCCACTGTGAGTCTAATAAGGATTTAGCTATTATATTAGTACAAGACCTAAGGAAGACACCTTTTGTGCAGAAAAGATGCAATGTTTTTATACGTGAAGTTCTTAAGGAGTCTTGCTTTTTTTTATTTCTTGGGCATCCTTCTGTTATCATAAAATGTTAGGAAGCAGCCATCGCCTTTATCTAATGGTAGACCCCATTTCTATTTTTCTTCATTTCTTTCTCTTTTTGTCTCCTAATCTCTGCTCTGTCTCTGTAGAGAATCCCTGAGTTTTATGGGCCAAATGCCACTGCCAACTTTTGTTTTAGCAGGGACGGGATGCAGTGCAGAAAGGAGTGCTACCTCCATTTGCACTATGTGTAAGAAAATTCCTGGGATTTAATTCTCTGTTCCTCAAGGTAACTGTAATTACACTTGGAAGCCAATATCCACCAACAGCTAGCTTGGTATTTAGGAGTAAAGGGAGTATAAATACTTCAGGCAGCTCTTTCCTTTGCTCCGATCCATAGGCTGAGATTTTACAGAGGAGAGGAGCAGTTCAGAGAGTCCTTCTCCGCTAGCTCTGGTCTCTGCCGTTTTATTCTGCCACTTTGCAGGCAGTTTTCACCAACCTGGTAATCCGTACTGTAGTTTCATATACCACGGCACAGCAGCAGCAAACATCCTCTATTGAGGACACAACGGTGGTTTGACTAGTTTAACGTCGTCAGCGAAGAAGCCGTTGCTTGGCTTCACAACATACTTTTATTGCACAGATCATTTTGAGATGTGAAGGTAAATGTTGTCTTACTGTGATGCTGCTTGGATGAGCAGAAACTCCTTCCTCCTTCCCACTTTCTTTTCTTTTCTTCTCTGCTTTTTGCTGGCCAGTAAACTATTTTAATTTAAAAGGTGATTTAACAAGATGATCTATTTTCCATTCAGGTTCTTTCTGTGGCTTAGCTGCCCTCTTTTTTTCCCTGTCCACCTAGGATTTTGGCTGCCTTTGTGAAAAGACTTCCTTCTCTGCTGCTCTGCAGTTACTTAATGCTACCTGCTGCTTTCTCCATCTTCTCCAACTGTGCTGCCTGTTTCTACCTCTTCCCACAAACACCCTTTGCTGCCCATGATCCCATTAGTCTGTCCCAATGTCTTTTTCCTCTGTAGGTTATAAAACATTTGTAGAAACTTGGGTTGTAAATACAGGTCCTGGACTGGTCAGTTACTAGAGGAACAGATGACGATTGTGCATGAGCTCTGCACAGAGTTGAGCCTATACAGTCTATTGAAGGTATTGCATCAAAACAATTTTCACTTAAGAAAGGAGAGCTAAGTCTTAAAAAAAATAAGATGAATATTTGTAACATGTGAAAAGCAATGAGAAAAACTAAGATATGCCAGAGAGAAGAGGGAGGGCTTGGATGACAGCTTAGGATTTGGGAAGTTTGTGTACAGTTCCTTGCTTTGACCAGATATTCTGTATGACTGTGAAATTGCTTCAGATGAGGTTCATCTCAATGAAGATGACTCCTTCTACCTGTATTGGCAGTCAAGTTTACAGAAGGGAACATAAGATATTAGAAAGCTTTCTGAGCTGCGTGGTAAGGGAGAAGACTAGACGCTGTACCTTATTTCTCTGATTTCCCCATAAATATAGGACAAGTAATAGGAAACATGAGCCATTAAGATCATTATAATGTGTAGGAGACCACCATCTTGTGACAACCATCTTTTGTCTAATGCACACGGATTAAGGATTGGGAAAGTAGTTTGAAAACATAATACCTCCCACCTCACTCCAAGATTTAATTTTACTCATGACTACAAGGTAAGGTAGGGTCTAAAATGATGTGCCATTTCAGCGTTTCTCAGGGGTCAGATTGGAGGGTGAAAGTGTGACTTCTCTTCCTTCCGCAACCAAGACGCTGGAAAGAAGTGTTTAGAGAGGAGCAGCTGCTGAAGATGAGTCAGCAGGGAAAAGGTTTATGTGGCCAGGTTTTAAGAAGTATTTGTCATAAAACAGAAGTAGTTTATTAAATGTCTCATGTCCACAAGAAAGAACAGGACAATCCCTGCCTGGTTTGTTTGCTTTTATTGCTAGATTTGCAACTAGGTTTCTTCGATTTGAGTTTGATTTTTTGTTTTTCCCCCCTGTACCTCCCAACTCTCTGGGTTGCCTTCTGTCACCAAATTTTAGATTGTTATTAGTCATTTCCATCCACAGAAATTACCTTTAGGTCTGGAATCTGCCTCTTGCTAGAGCTGTCAATAGGTAATTTATACACATTACTAAAAAAGACGACCAGAGTCATATGCTGTGTACGTGGTCATGCGGGTGGGTACCTTTTGGGAGTGGTTTAAAAGCGATAAAATAGTTCCCATCTACTCTTTCTGTCTTCCCCCTGAGCTGACCCTGATGCCCTTTCCATGCTATTCCTAATTTGTTGATTTTTCTTTTCTCGATTTCTTCTATTTCCTCTCCCTTCAAAACTCTACCTAAAATGCACTTATGAAAACGGGCACTTCTATGTGCTGATCTGCACCAACTCTTAGTTTGCTGGGGTTTGCTGGTGGTGGTGGAGGGCCATTTGAATCGTCTTTTGAAGTTCGTGTAACACAGAACTTAGCTGCCCAGCTCCGTTACTTTTGATGTGGCAGGACCCTGCAGCTATAGCTGCTGTGCCACAGCCTTCTCATGAACCCAGTTTCAGGGGAAAGTGTATCTTGGACGAAGCGGGCGCTTTTGCTGCTGGTTCATGCCACGGCTTTGTACAGAGGTAGAAAGTGGCACTTAAAACATTTGAGACTGGTGATCTCCAAAACCACCTCCTGATCCCCAAACCACTTCCTTACTCTGATCGTGATGGATCTGGGTTCTCATCACAGCCACTATCGTATCCATAATTCTAATTTTGACCAGGCTTAACCAATCTAAAATGTTCCACTGAAGTGAATAAGAAACAGGGGAAAGCCACAACGTCGCGTTTCAGGTACCTCGACTCCGTCCAAAATACCCATCAGAGTGTATATATATATATTATTTAGACTGGTAGCTTATGTTTATGAAGACTATCAACTGTGATTGCTTCTATCAGTAACAGGATGTTGCAGTACAGCTGTGTGGCAGTCATGATAATATTTGTATCAATTATAACTTTTAAAATATATAACTGCAAGCAGTTTTAGTGGGAGCAAAAATGATGAAGAACAGAAGGCCGAAGAAGATAATATTGTCATGTTACTTTTTGGCAGTGCCATAGCATTCTTTACATGGATGAAAAAGGTTCATGTGTATCAAGTATTGAATACTCACTGGTCAACAAACACTTTAATGGACAAAATGAACTACAAACTACTTAAAAAATTGAACGTTATTATAGTAGCCTGACTTGTGAAATCGGCTGTTTGTTTGCCACACATTTACAGAACTTGGGTTTATTGTGTTTTTCTTAGGAACGCGAATGTTCTCTGGAAGCAGCAAGAAGCAGCGTGCCATGGGCAAGAGCGGCACCGCTGCCCCTGCCTCTTGCCTGCATCCAGCATCTGAACAGGACCCCACTGCTGCCTCCAATGGCTCGTCGGCAGGGGGGGCTCCCTCCCGAGGCACCTCCAAATCCAAAGAGGTCCGACCACAGTGCTTCCTGAAGCCAAAAATATCCGTCTCCGATAGTATGTGCAATATAAAAACTCTGTCAAGAATCGTCTTGGAAGCAAATGTTCACGGGCAAAATCAGTTCCTAAAAGGTGAGGTACAAATCCTACTGTGGTTGTTAGGAATATGGTTTCAATAATAAGATGAGATCAGTCTCGGAGAAAAAGGTGAAATAATGGAAAGTCTGTCCATTTTTGTCCAGTTTTCAATGCTGAGTATGAGTCATCTGGTGAGAGATCACATCAGCTAATCAAACTGTATACATTGCTATGGTTAACAGAAAACAAAATGAAGATGAAAATGATAGGCTTATTTTGTAAGTAGATTCAAAAAAGTCTTGAAAAAAAGTTAAAATTGCAGAGTCAAGCATTCCCAGTTCAAGCAATACCAGAGGTAAGATTGTTTTTGCAACCTTGTTTTGATACCTTTCTTTTATTTCTGCAATCCCGTACTTTTGTTTGCTTGTTTGTTTTCCCACAACACCCTCAGCTATCTCATATACTGTCTGATACACATGGAATATCTCATCTGCAGAGATCATCATACAATAAAATTTTTAACAAGTGATCATCAGTGTGTCAGTGCATAAAACATACTTTTCTTTCAGTTCAGCACCTACTTGAACATCTAACTTCCCACATTTTTTCAAGTAACTGATATGGGGATGACTCAAGTAGCTGAATTCACGCATAACGTATCTTTGCAGATTTTTTGCTGAAGACAATTACATATCTACTATACGTAGCATTTCTACTGTAGATTAATTTGGCTTTAATATATGTAGATTTGTTAAAAATTACTCCTAAGACTGCCTTATGAATGCTATAATAACAGTGTAGCATTTTTTCTTTTAGATTTTCTGTAGACAGGTAGGGAAAACCTGCCATGATTGAATATAAAGCTACTGAATATAACACCCATGTACAAGAGAGAAGCCAGTTTCCTACATCCAGTGCCTGAAGTTAAATACCTGTTATTCCACTAACTAATGGTGACTTAGTTTTACACAAGTGAAGCATCCACGGAGATCTACTGAAGATAAAGGTAGCTGACACCTCCAAAACCCAAGCTTATTGAGGAATTTAATTTCATGTTCACCAGTTTCAAGTTTTATCCAACATAAATGATGTTAACAAGAACACTGTTAGGGAGGAAATACAGTTCAAGATTTTGTAAGGCAGATGTGCCCAAAGCAGATCACTTTAACATTTTTTTAAGTACAGCATAATATGTACAATATGTCATAAAGAGGAAAATATTTTCGGTTTATTGTAACCAAAAATTGAAATAAAACAGTAATGGGCTTTATTCCCAGATATTTAGTTCTAGAAATCAAATTATTTGGCAAGAAAGAAGTACTTCAGTGTAACTTTTTCAGACCAGTGCATATGGATCTTTTCTGAAATTAATTTGTTATTTTGGATTAATTCTGTAATTTATATAAGAATCTTGTCAACTACCTCATTTTGAACACATACCCTCTTTTGGTCGTAATTTGTACAGGAAATATCAGTCTTAGGGCGTGAAAGCATAATTATAAGTAAGTGTAGAATTTTTTTTTTCCTCAGTGCAGGACTTGCTGAATTGATAGCTTGCATAATGATTTGCTATAATACATATTAACCTTTTGTTTAGCGCTTTTTTCATGGAGTCGTTCCACTGAGAGGCTAACGAATATATAGAAATGATATAAAGCAAACTGTGTTATTAGCAAAGGAAAGACATGAGCAGGCCTTATTAAAGCCTCCATTTGGTCAAAGAGAAATGATATGTGATTAAGTTCCATAAAAACATGTTATTTTCTATAATAAGGGCAATAAATTGAAATGACCTCAAACTGTGAGTTGCAGAGCAGTATCCTCTGCTTTACATAATATCAATGCGTTACAGAAGTGCCTTGCTTTCTGGGAAGTAAATACCACCGAATGGAGCTGAGCATCGCAGCGGTTTAATTACGCTCCCTTGCGATGTCTTGCTTAATGTGAAAGATACTACTTGTGTCACAGGGCAGGGACTAGCACCTATGATTAGACTTGATCTATTCTGCTTAATGAGGCCTATTAATAATACCTTGGCATTCTTATTTCAGAAATTGCCCTCTCTGTCTGATGAGGTGGAGAACCCCATAAAAAATTAGCCATGCGCTCTTAATGAACTTTTAAATCTCTCTAAGGTGATTACAAATTCTGTGGTTCAAATGACAAAATAAAGGAGCCTAAGGAACGGGCCGAGCAGGAGAGAGCCAGCAGGGTAACGCTATCTGCAGCTCACTTGCCAGATGTTACTCATGAGAAAAAAGACGCGCTCCCCCGGCCAGAAATCTGCTCGGAGCCTGAGAAAATTCCACCAAGCCCACTGACTCTGAGGGTAAAATCTCAATTTGTTTTTATTGTTGTTGTTAATTCTGGGACTGATTTTTCATGGATGGTCGTTGCTTCCTGGGAACTGGCTGAGGGCAGAAGTTCACATTTCCTTGATTTTTCTCCTTTTGGGGGAAGTTTTGTTCACTTGCTTTAGTTGCTGAGACTTCCTTGATTGGTTCTAAAAAATACGCGGCGCCACCTCTATGGAGGAACGTGGCAAAAGTCTGGGATCTACCAGGATCTCCCAAACACACCTCTGAAAGTGTACCTCAGAACTGCCAGTTTCCCCAAATGTGCTCAAATCGAGTATCACCAGCCATATGTCTGAATACAAACCCTCCAGGTCAATACCAAGCTGTAGTAGGAGACATACTTTCCTGCTTTCTCATCCGCTGCAATGTTGCATACCAGTCTGCGTTCCCGTCTTCTGTCGTGAAGCATTCCTAAACGTTGAACCAGCCTTTGACTGGAGAGCGTTTTCCTCCTGGATCATCCGTGCCTAGATTTGCATGATAATCTACATAAACAAGAAAGTTTGTGAGCTGCTAGTGACAAGTTGCTTTGGCGATGGGGTGAGACAAAGAAATAGGCAAAATGTCAAGAACTTGAATTTGGATAACTTAGAAGAATGTGTAACTCAAAACCGTTTGGATATGTTTTCTTATAGTCTTTTAGAAATAATCTCCTTCGCCTGATCTGGAAATGCTTATACCAAGCCAGCTTTCTAAAATTAAAAGGAAGCAGAGCCAGATAGGGAGGCAGTTCATTGACTTTCTTACAGACAAGCAATGATTTTCATTGATAATCCCTTGCTGAACGCAGTTAGATGAATACCTCAAGGTGGGGGCTTTTTTTCCTCTTTCTGAAATCAAGTGTTTTTTCTGTTTCATTTAGGAAGCACTAGAAATCCATAAACCTCAGTTCATTTCTCGTTCACAAGAAAGGCTGAAAAAGCTTGAACATATGGTACAGCTGAGGAAAGCCCAGCAGAGTGATGCTCTGGGAAGGAAACAGGGAGCGCTGCTTGTTCGCAAACTTTCCTCAACATCCATTTCGAGCAAAAAAAAGCAATATACCATTCCTCACCCGCTCAGTGGTAAGTTGAATCGTGACCAGCAACAATTCTGTAATTGTCCTTGAAATCTTCCCACATATATAGTATTTCTATATTAATTCTGTGGGAAAAACACGTGCCCAAGGGCTCCTGTTTCACCTCTGCCAGCATGCAGGCATCAGTCCTGGTGCTCTAAACAGAAAGTCTCCAAAGCAAAGAGACAGGACTAACAGGGCTGAGGTGTTTGCCTTGGTCTGCGCTTGCAGAAGGAGCCTTCCTTGAAGACTCTTGGTCATTATCACCTGCTTCTGTGTCTTGGGGCATGGAGCTGGTTGCTACCAGAAGGTTATTTGTTACAGGTGACAGCAACATAAAACGTACCTGGTAGGTCTCGTGGGAAGGTCAAGCAGGGGAAAGAAGTGTCAGGTAAGGGGACGGGTGGGATTTGGCCCTGAGGGTTTCAATCCGGTCGCAAAGGAGCCTCAGGCGTGGACTCACCAGGTGACCCATGAAGCCCTCAGAAGTGAGCTCGCTGTGAAATCACACTTGGCCACCTGGGAGCCGTAAGTGAGGCTGCCAGCTCAACGCATCTCAAACTCCGCACTTTCCTAGTTTCAATGATTTGGTTGTTTTATTGCCCTGGGGGGGAACAGACTCGATATTCCGTGTGTGAAACGGTTCCCTCTGAGAAACGTCTCACAGTTCAGCTCCCAGTGGCATCTCTGTAAATAGTAACTAGGTGCGATACATTGAAAAGAAATCCTTTTTATTTGTCATTTGGTTTTTACTTGATTCGGTTCACTAAAGGATTTGTTTGATTGGCTAGAAGTCATCTTTCTATTTCGCTTCTAAATCTGCGGCTATTCGAAGCCGCACGGTTCTGTTGAAAAGTGAAACAACGGAAGCCATCGTTAAACAAATACTTCACAATTAAGAAGTTTGTCTTCCCCTCTTCTTCCGACAGAGCAGAAAGAGGCAAAAATACAGCCGAACGATCTAAAGGAGAAGATCTTGGCGTACGGCCCAGGGCCCTGCTCCCCTGCCGCTGCGCCCCGGAGCATGGCGGGGAGCGGGGACGCGTTTAGTTCTCGGAGCAGAAGTTGGGGGAAGGTGACACTTTCCCCCGTGGCTAATAAGTGAGGTTTTCCTGCAAGAGACAAAAGTGCCGCACCAACAGTTAACTGCTGGCAGTGATTCAGCTGAGGTTTCATTTGTATTTTAAAAGGAAAACGGGCCACCTGGAAGAGGCAGGAAGGAAAATCGTTTTGATTTCCTGGACACCTGTAAATGCGTGCGTGCTGGTAGCTCGCTGGGGAAGGAGACTGGGTGCAAGGAAGCCAGGCGCCAAAAAAAAAAAAAATCTAGAATAGTCTGTTATTTTAAAGATTGCATCAGCTTTATCAGTTCTTATCCCCTCCAAAATGACGTTGTCGCTGTTGACATAACTTTGCGTTGTTATTTTGGACCATACCAGCTTCGGTTGCCAAATCTATGTGATTTCTAGTGGTTTTATGCAGTCTGCTTTACCTCGGGTACGCAATTAGTTTTTAGAGTAAGAGCTAAATAAGCACAAGTAAACAAGTGCGCAAAACATGAGGTAATTTTAAAGAGGCAGTAAAATTAATCGAGCAGTTCTGCTAAGCAGGTTAATTCATTTGGGCGCAGGCCGCTTGGGGCCGCAGGGCTGGGGTGCTGCCTTAACATGGCCATGAGTAGTTTTCTGTTTGCAAGATCTTAATATTTTCATCATGACAGAAGCTGCCGCAGCTGATAGTTAACCATAGCTTCAATTGATAGTGTAAATCTTAGCTCTCTGATAAAGCACAAATGTTTAGGCTGCAGTTCAGAGGAGTGCGCTGAGTGTATTTAATGTGCTCTGACTCCTGGCAATTGGTATTTTAGGACTTCTCCGGGTGGATGCTGTCGTGCAGAAGGATTAGTAGTGTCAGTGAGGGCCGCAGCACGAGGTCTTCGCTCAGAGCTGCCGCTCCCCAGCTCGCTCAGCCGCGCTTCAGCTCGCCTGGGAGCCGCGGCCGGTAGTTTTTAGCGGTTTAGTGAAACGGTACCATTACCTAGGGGGGCTCCCTTGGTGCTGGCGCACTGTACCCAGGCACAGGTGACCCCAAAAGCCGCCTGCCGGCCAGAGCCAGCCGAGCCAAGGAGACGTACCAGATTAACCGGTGACAATTGCGCCGTTTTGCGGCCGGCCGGGGAAGGGGTTGTGAGTCTGGGATTCATGCCGAACGCAGCGCAGCGGACGTCGAAACAGGGTGCAACTGCGGTCCGAGGTGCTGCTGTTCAGCCTTTTATTTAGTGGGTTGCTGTTTCGCTTGCTCTCACCTAAATAAGCGTGTTGCATGCACTTTGCTCATTGTTTTGGTGTCAGTCGGAAAAAAAAAAACGCCCTTAGAGGTTCTCTGGGCCTGAGACCATTCTATCCGACTAAAGATTGTTTATTGATCGTATGGAATTATTAGATCACACAGTTTTCAAATGTTTTGTCGGTATTGTTACAACCTTACGGCTACTCATACGAAAAAGAAATAATTGGCATCTACGGCATTTCCATATAAATGCCGACATCTGCGCAGCTTCCACTTACCTTCTCATTTTCCAAAAAAAAAAAAAAAGTTGTTTACCATTTTTAATGGTAATTTTTTTTAATTTTAAAATGCTGCAAATAATCTTAGAAAAATGAAAATATTTATGCAGCAGCAGATTTATCATCACAAGAGCACTTCGAAGGCGTACAATCCGCAACTCTCATACTAGCCTTTGTGCTGTGTAATGTGTACTGCTCAATTTCTAGGGTGCTAATTAGTCCAAGATAGACTACTCTGCTGTTGACTGTGTCGAGCAAATTAGAGATCCCACTGTGACGAACTGAACAGAAACAATGTTCAAATAACTGGATTTAAATCTCAAAACCCGTAATGTAATTACTTCAGTGACAGGACTACCAGCTGTTTATAGGCCTTTAAATCCTCATAATGAACAGCCTTGTGATCTTAGTGTGCAAAAGCACTTCCAGAGGTTTAAAAAAATTTCACAAGCACATATGTTTTTTTATATCCTCCATTTTCCTTTCCATTTGGTGGTTCACCGCCAATGGCAGTATAAGGAATCAAAGTTACCAGTCAATCCCTGAATAGGTGCCTACTAAGTTTCTCTGCATTTGTCCAGTAGTATGTTTGATAATATTTTGGAAACAAGTGCATATCTCCTCAGTCATGCTTCTACAGCTTTCCGAAAAGCCACGCTGTAACTGCAAAAGCCTGGAGGGCAAGGATTGCTGTTTGTTTGTTTGCAATTGGAAGGAGGTGGTTTCTGGAGAAGCTCTATGTTAGCTGGGTTGTTATTTGGATCGTGGCTTTAATGGGGCGAGTAGAAGTCAGCAATCGGAGAATTAGCAAAAAGTATGCATCCAACAAATAATCCTGCAGCCCTTAATGTGCAACCTCTTGCTCCTCAGTTGCCCTTGGTGGCTGGTCGGATACTGGCAGCCACCTGCCCTTCTCTGCTTGTGCATTACTGTAGTCGTGCCATTTCTCAGATTTCTTTTCCTAGTCAATATTCATTGCTAGCAATAGTGCCACTGATCTTGTAGGCACCCAGCCATGTGCTTAAGGCTGACAGTTATGAATACAGATTAAGTCGCAGTCAGGTAATTGAATTAGGAAGTGGTATGACCTATTTTTATGCTATTATTATTAATCACATTGACGCAAGCAGCGCCTAGAATTGAGCTGAACCTGGCACCATGTTGCAAGGCGCCGGCGGCACACGCCGCCGTCCCTCAGGAGCCCGCTGCCGAATTAATTAAGGCAGTGGAAGAGGCAGAGTCCAAAGCTCAAGGAAGATGTAGATAAATAGGAAAATCTAAATGAAGATTTTTTTCTGGGAGAATGACTGTTGAAACAACCTGCACTATAATGGGTGATTCAGGAAGCTCAGTCAATCTGCTTCTGAAAAATAAAATGAAGGGGTGATTTCCTTAGGGCTAGAAGTAAGTAGCCATGTGGAAAACTGAAGCTTGATGATGGAGTTTTTAATCATGAAGAAAAAGGTCTGACTTCATCCATGATTAGAAATTGAAACTGAACAAATCAGGATTAAGACTCAGGCGCAAGTTTTACCAAAGATGCAGGTAAATACATTTTGATGAATTTACTAAGATCTGTCGTACCTTTTCATTAATGGCTATTTCTTGAAGACAATTGTCAGCTTCTGAGGACTATACGCTGTAGTCAAACAATAATGCTTTAGGGTGGCCAGGTGATATGCTAATTATGTTTTTTTTTCCTGAATTTGAAGTCCAGGAATGGCAAGTTATCATTTAGATAGCAGGGACTGAAATCACCCATGTCATGCCTTGAATGAATTTGACATGGAAAAGTTTTTGTAAACTTGAAAACTTTACAAGTTTTATACAATAACTGATGATCTCTATTGTTAAAACTGAAACACTAAGAGGGAGCAGAAGTCTCCATAGCTACAGAGTAAGTCATATCTGAACAGCAGCAGGAAAGCCCATTAACTGCCTGCTTGCGGTCCTCTCAGGAGAGGACCACTGTTGAGCAGACAGTTCAGGCAGTCTTACTGTCAAACCTTGAGCTATCAGGTTGGTAAATATTTTATAAGTAATATCAAAACCTCATCCATGAATCACAGCTGGGGAATGCCATTACGTGAAGCCGTTGACATCCAGTGTGCTGAGTTTGGGTAGCACCTCTGGGTGCAGGCATGAGGATGAATTCCCTGTCAGGTGCTATGAGGATGCTAAGCTGAATGCCACCTTTACCTTTACCCTGGATTCAAGGTTAATTTAATTTTATGGGACTGTCAATTTAAAAAAAAAAAAGTCATATTTAAAAAAATTTTATATACCTTAGGATATCTCTGGATGAATGGGTTTCAGGTAAAAATTTTTTTTGTTTTTTTAGTTTGGGGGAAAAGCAGTTTAATCAGAGAACTACTGTTATCAGTGCTTTGCTTTTCAGTGACTGGTAACACACGCTTAAAGTGTGTGCTTTAGATCAGAACAAGCTTTGAGAATTCACATTCATAGCAGGGGAAAATGTGTTCTGATGAGCAGAGTTTAGCCTTTGATGCATCTTGCCACTTTTAAGAGTTTCAGTGATTTAGTGGTAAACAGGAAATCAGGGAATGGTTCCCACACAATCCTGAGCTGTCTGTTCGCTGTCTACACATCTAAACTTCCCAGGCAAGAAAGTTACTCACCCTGTCTGAGGTAGTTTTACCATTGTTTAAAATATATTACAACAATGATCTATTGACCTTCATTTACAACTTGTTGGAGGAATTTCTTTCTCCTGCTGTGGAGATGTCACAAACCACTGTTGGTGTAAATACCAGAAGCTCATTAGCTTGACAAGAGTTGAATAAAACACTGATGGAGTGTTCCATGTTTTTCCGTCTACATTTTTTTGTTAACTGGTATATTACCGAAAACGCTGAATATCTATTTTCAAATTCCTTATTTTCTGTCCCTTGCAGTAGTTTTCTCTGAAAGTAGTACACAGCTATTAGAATTTGATAATGAATTTTGATAAACTGGCTACTATCAACCTGGGGAATTGTCCAATTAATGCGCTTTGATCTTACCTTGGCAGGAATTTTGAATTCAGGTCTTCTTCATTATGTAGGTGATTAGAGGTCATTATGTAGGCAGATTATTGTAGTTCTGAAAGCGTACTGCTCCTGCACTTGGAAGCATGCTTGCCGCTCAGCGTTAAACCTATCATTTCGTTAGGAACAAATGTGACTTCTATTATTATTACCTATTATCTATTTTACAGGATTTTATTTTCTCATTTACCCAAGTTTTTATTTATTTTTTAAAAAATAGTTTCAGAATAGTTTTCATCTTAAAATCCCTGAGGGACTTTATTTGAATGTGTTGCGTTTTATGTTTTTTCTCATTCCTAGTGACTCGAGAGTTAGCTGGGAGTTACTACACGAAAGTTTGCCTATAACCGTTAGCCTTTTGACTCCTGTTAGCTGTTAGCTGTTTCACAATGGGCATTTTTATAACCAAGGTAGCTTTATTTTCTCTTTGAGGAATTTTCTTTGAGGATTTTTCCCAGAGTCTCTTTTTAATGCTGCCTCTGGCCCGGCAGCCCCTACAGCTCCTGGCAGAGTCGCTGGCAAGGAATGGCGTGATGCCCTTCAAGACGGTTTCTGTGGCGTCTGGAGAGGATTACTGTGGAGGAGCAGGGCGCGTTCGCTCACGTCAGCCCTGCTCTCGGCCTCTGCCGTGGTTCCCAGCAGCGTGGCCACGGCGGGAGCCTGTCACAGTGACGTGCAGAGAAAATACTGATTAGCTTGCCACCCGGTTTACAAGATAGGTCGAGGCCTGCAGATCCTCAGCTTCTTCCTTCACCTCTCACACGTTCCTGCGGTTATTCAGAGGCCTGGGAAACAAGGAAATCCATCCTTTGGATTTCAACCCTCCTCTCGTCTCCCTTCATCACGTTTCTGCAAAGGGACCTTTACTTTTAAGGAGAACACCAGCATGCCTGACTGCTCCTGGCCTCCCTTCCCAGCTATGGGCAACGCGCTTTCCGTGGAGCGTTGACCCTCTCCAGGAACGAGCTGGTCTTCAGATGTGATCTAGCGGGAGCGGGAGGCGTGGGCAAAGGGAGGAGAGCAGCTGCTGCTGTCCCCGCCGCGCTGCCCAAAGCAAAGCTCCCGGCGGCCGGGGCGCTTGGCAGGCCCGGGCCG